GAAGAATTTGTTGTGCTCCTCAACTACACTAAAAATTTGTATGTGTTAAGAAGCACTGAAATGAAATGGATGAAGCTTAAGGTAACATCAGATGCTTCATGCTCGGATTTAGTTGCTTTTAGAGGCAGATTTTATGCAGCCTTTCTAAACGGGGACATTTTCATTTTCGATCCTTATACGATGCAACGGACTCCCATGATGCCCTCTGAGCCTCTGCGATCAAGCAATTATCTGATTGCATCTGGCAATGATGAACTTTTCCTAGTTGAGAAATTCAACCCATTTCCTAATTGTGGTCGAATAGATTTGAAGCGGTTCATATGTAGAGTGAGTAGGCTAGATGAGGAAGCTGGTAAATGGGTTGTGGTTAGTGATTTAGGAGACCGAGTGTTGTTTATTGGACACTTTGGAAATGTTTGTTGCTCGGCTAAGGAGCTTCCTGATGACTGTGGTGTGAGTGGGAACTCAATTTTGTTCACCAATGAACCAGGCAATGTAACTTTTGCATACAAATATGGAGTACAGACAGGAAGGGCTGAAGACGACCTTAATTGTTGGAGATTATCAAGACAGATTCGTGTGACGATCCTCAACACATTTCCGGTTGTGGCTCTCCGGCTTGAGTGACAAGCGGAAAATCTCAGCCATTGATATCTGAGACATACTGTTGATTTTGCTTTTATTAGATTTTGTGATCTCTGATATATATTCCAGTTTGATTTTTTTTTTTCTTTTTTCTAAACTTTCAAGTTTCAACCATATGACCTTTTCAAGACTATATAGCTATGACTATGGAAATGGTTGTCTCATGAACTCTTAAAGCTATGTCTTGTTGTGTTCTTGGTATCACGTGGTGATGTGTTTGAATGAATAGCCAAACTCCTCATACGAGATTAAATCAGCAGCTTCAGGCATTTCTTTCTCAGTAGAACTGTGGTAAGGCATTCATCTTAGTGTAGTGCAAGTACTATACTAGTTATCATCGACACAAGAAGACTTTACTTGAATTTATCAACCAATGATTTATCGATATAGTTTCCTTAGGAAGCTCAGAAACTCTGAGTTTGTTGCCCTTCAAACAAACTTAACGATTCTAACATGATCTCAAAGAAATGATATGATGCTTTGTGAGATCATCGACTTGAAACCCCAAAAGTATAAAGAGATTACCAAGAAAAAGCTTATTGGGACTCGTATGGATCAGCAGTGGAACACGTTGATAAATATGCACAAATGTCTATACGAGAAACTAACACGTTGTGTCCAAACCGGATGAAACCGAGACCTTGAACCGGAAGAATAAATTATTTCTTCTTATTTACTGGAAACGACGTCGTTTTCTTTTCTTAATCATCATCATCTCGCTGAAGTAAAAAATAAAAAAATCTCTCCCTGAAGTCGAGTAATTTCTTCTCCATCCTTGGTTTCATTATCATAGTCTTTCAATTGCGACAGGTATGTTTATGTTTTGATTGAAATCGAAGCTCACTTGAATTGTCTATAGGCTAAGGTTCTTAGAGAAATCTTCTGGGTTCTATATTGTCAAAGTTCTTCAAAAATTGTCACCTTTATATAAGTACATTGTGGTGAAGGGTTTTTCATCAATATTCACATCCCTAGAAGATTGTTATATGTTCATGTTTGTTTAAACCCTACAATTGTAAAATATCCTTCAGGTTTCGAAATTGCAGCAGTTTGTGAAAGGAGCCAAAGAAGATGTCATCAAAGATGCCAGACTGGTCTCAGCTCCCTGTGGAGCTACTGCACCTTATACCCAAGAATCTAGAGGACGAGGAGTACTGTTTCGATGTTGTTCATGCTCGCTCTGTTTGCCGTTCATGGCGATCCTTATTTCCCTTTCCTTCTTGCTTGTTACGGTCAAGTTACTCTCTTCCCTCGTTCGCCGATTTCCCTCTCGAAAACAAAGATTTGTGCACCCTCAAGAAGGTCCCTTTGTTCCTCTTTAGACTCCGAGCTCCTCCTGCTTCTGCGGCGTTGCCATCTAAGTATTTTCTTGGAGGAATAGGCCGGGATGAGTCAGAGGATCATATGGAGCTTCAATCTCCCCTTCAATGCTCAGTGAAAGTGAAGATCCGAGGATCTGAGCCAACCTTGATCAACATTCTCGACTATCAGATTATCCCTCTGGGATATCAATATAGAATGATCGGTTCGGATCATGAGAAATGGATAAAATATTTCAGAGGTGTGGTTTTCCTTCCGCTAAACAAGGAGGGAGAAGGAGGAGAATTCGTTGTGCTCCTCAACTACTCTGATGTTTTGTTGGTGTTAACAAGTGCCGAAATGAGGTGGAAGCGGCTTACGAATGTCCCAGATTACCAATGCATGGATTTAGTCACTTTTAGAGGCAGATTTTATGCAGCTTTTTTAACTGGAAAAATTGTCGTTATCGATCCTTATTCGCTGGAAGTGACTCCCTTGATGCCTTTACAGCCTCTGCGCTCAAGCGATCATCTGATTCCATCTGGCAATGATGAGCTTTTCCTAGTTGAGCATTTCAATCCATTTCCTGAAGCTGATGAATTAGATTTTAGCAAGTTAGCATGTAGAGTGAGTAGGCTAGACGAGGAGGCTGGTAAATGGGTTGAGGTCAGTGATTTGGGAGACCGTGTGTTGTTTATTGGACACTTTGGAAATGTCTGCTGCTCGGCTAAGGAGCTTCCTGATGGCTGTGGTGTAAGTGGGAACTCCATTTTGTTCACCAATATAGGCAATGTAACTTTTGCCTACAAATATGGAGTACAAACAGGAAGGGCGGAAGACGTCGTCAATACTTGGAGATCCTCAACACAGAATCGTGTGACAATCCTCAGCACATCTCCGGTGTTGGCTCTCCGCCTTGAGTGTTAAGCTGAAAATCTTGCTTTGGATATCTGAGACATAATGTTGATTTTGTATATATTAGCTTTTGTGATCTTGGATGATCTGTAGTGTGTGCGTATTTTGTGTCACGGCGGTATGCTGAAAACTAGATCACTTCGCTTGTAGTTGTATTTCAGTTTTAGCTTTTTTTTTTTTTTTTTTTTGTTATAAACTTTCAGTCCACTACCTTCCTTCTCCATACCAGATAGCTATGTGCCTACTATGTATATGGATATGGTTTGCCTAATGAACTCTCATAGGTATGTTCGGCTGTGTTCTTGGTGTTACGTGGTCATATTTGTGTAGTTTTAGTGATGCTATAGCAATTCTTGGTGTTACAAAGTTGAGGTTTAAGCGTGGAGTTTGACCGTGTATCAGGGAAGCTTTCAAGAACGGAAGAAGTATAGAAGAAGAATCAATAAACAGAAGCAGTGTCTTCCTCGTAGAGTTAGGATAAGGACAATACGCGTCGTAAACTTCAAGTCTGTCATAATAAAGAAACCATAGATTCAGGGCCGGCTCAATTAATTTAGAGTCCCTGTACAAATCTTAAAAATTGGCCCTTTTTCATACCAAAAAAAAAACAGTCTTGGCAATAATCCACCAATGGCTGATCTAAAAACTTAAAAACCATGAATATCAAGTCTGTTTGGGCAAGCTTAAGAGTTATCATATACACAAGAGGACTCTACTTGAATTTCTCCACCATGCTTAATCGATATAGTTTCACTAGGAAGCTCAAAGACACCTGAAACTCCGATTTTGTTCCCTTCAAACCAACCCAATCATTCCCAAAAGGAATTCAAAGAAGATATTGATATCGACTTGATATTCCAAAAAGAAAATTAAGAAATCATATAAAATGAGTACATTTTTATGTCTTTTATGTATCAAACGATTATTTACTATCTTGTAATTAAAAAAGAGAGAATCAACCAAAAGTTAAAAAGATTGCATATATAATACATTACTCATAATGTAATAATTGAATATGAAATTGAAATGTAAACATAAAACGAAAAAAAGTAATAATTACTTAAAATTGAAACAGATGGAGTACTAATTTATACTCAATTTACTGGTTAAATATCTTAAAATTAATTTTCTCTATTTTAGATAATAATATAGTTTTTATAGTGTTATATCATGAACTATTTTATAATATTTGATTTATAATCATTAATAAACTATCAATAATTGAATTAAATACTAAATTTTAAAAATATGAAATAATAAAGTAAAAGTTTAGCTTAAAGGCGTTCAAGAAATGTTTTATTTAATTTACTAAATAAAAAAAATTTATATTTAAATTTAATTATTTGCATACACTTGTTAAAATTATATAAGTTATGAAAATCCGAACTATTTTGATATTTTAGTTTGATATAATATAGTTAAATCAAACCAAATTTACAAATTAATAATAAACTGCACATCCGTCAGACATTAACCTAGTTAATATATTGAAATGATATATGTCTCATCAATTGTTTTTCTTTTCATTCAATAACTTTATGAACCACTTGGGCGATCTTTTAAGATATCTCTTACGCTCATCGTTGAAATTCATGAAACTGTGTATCTTGATTCAGTGACGGACCCATAAATGATTTTTACCTGGGTCAAAAAAAAAAAAATGCAAATGAATCATATTGGGGAGTCGAACACGAGACATGGGGTGTCATTGAGCAAGGAATTGGCAACTTTGCTGTAAATTCTTTTATGATTATGGTGCAAAACGACATATATATTTATTTTACCAGGGTCAAGTGAAACCCCTATCATGTGAATGGGTCCTCCACTGTCTTGATTCCCATTCAAAATTGTCTAGCAACGACCACCCAAAAAATCCCTTTACATTGGCTCCAACCGAGATCCAATGTGACGATCTTGACAACCTTGTGAGAAGAATACAATCTCCGATTCTCCGAAGTCCACAGACCACAAAGTTGGAAATCAAACATGTAAACTTCAGGTGTAAAACAGACCCTCCCTTTGGGACAGAAGTTTCCCACTCTCGTCATTTCCAGCTTAAAAATGATGTCGTTTCTTTATTTCTTATTCACCGGGAAACGCCATCGTTTTTGTCTCTTCTTCATCTCCCAAATCGCGAAATTCAACGATCCCTAAATCGTTCTCACTAAACTAAAGTCAAGTGTCCGTCGAGTAATTTCTTCTCCGACAACTTCTCCATTCTTGGTGCCGTGGTCCTACTCTATCAATTACGACAGGTATGTTTCTGTTTTGAGCTCCTCTCATCGTTATAATCGTAGCTCAGTGGTATTTCAGAGTCGCAATCTCAATGATATATATATTTTTTTTGCTTTTTTACTTCCGTTTCCTTGTACCAAACCAATTCATTATCGGCTATAGACTGTAGTTTTCTCTGCACTTTCATATTGAATTAAACGTGCGTTAGGAGTTTCTTACACAAATGTTCATTTACCTGAGTGTGTTGACTACTCTTTGATATATGCACATCTTTAATTTTTCTACTTTTCTAGGGAATGGATGAAGAGAGAAATCTTCTCTTTCATTATTTTTTTTGACAATTTCCTAAACCGTAAAATTGGAAATTTTCTTTCAGAACTCGAAACTGTTGCAGTTATGTCTTCATCAACAAACATGGCAGAACCTGCAAGGAATAAGAAGATATCATCCATTATGCCAAACTTGTCTCAGCTCCCGGATGAGCTACTCAACCTTATCTTCAAGAATCTAGAGGATTACTGCTTCGATGTCCTTCATCCTCGTTCTGTTTGCCGCTCGTGGCGATGCACGTTTCCTTTTCCTTGTTGCCTATTACGCCCGAGTTACTCTCTTCCTTCGTTCGAACTTAATCACCAAAGAGTAGTAACTTTCTTCATCCACATTCACAAAATCCACTCATGCACTGTCTAGTTTGTCTACGGTATGGAACTCTTGTCTTCTCATCTTTAGCTTCTCTTGTGTGGAAATTCTAATTATTTGTTCTTTTTTTCCAAACATAGGTGTCTCCACATAGATACACCGGAACAAATCTTTAAAATATCGGAACTTCCCTTCTTCTTTGATCTTGGTTTCCAACCCAAAAGAGGATAATGTCACGCAACGTTTCCTTAGTTTCAAGTTTTAGGAGGAACAATATAAAGAGATTCTCTAAAAGGGCATAAGTAAGTTGGTTCTCTTTGAATTAGCATAAACAACAACTTCCTTTGTTGTTTTTGGCGGAATTAAAATTTATTTGCTACCTCCATCTAAGTTCTTTGGAAACATCATGAATAAGTCTCCACTTTTTGTACCACTAAATAATCTAATGCATATATATACTTTGGAAGCATTCTATAGCTTTTAGAAGAGACTAGAATATCAAAGTTTATATCTAGTTAATCTGCTTTACTTCATCGATTTCCAAAATTAAATCAATTTAAGTTAAGGTATCAATACAATGATAAATTTAGAGATATGAGCGTAATCTTATATACTCAACGTTAAAACATAGTTATGGAAATTAACATCATATTACATATCATACGATATGCATATCTAATATTAGTTTAAACGGCATAGATGAATAAATTTCACTTGAAGGTTATAGTTGTTATATATGTTATAGGTAATCAATTTTAATTAGTTTAAATCCTAACTAATAGATTTGTTATATGTGTACGTAAAGTATGCATGGGTTAAGATTTTAATTTGGTAACACCATTTTTTATAGGGTAAATTAGCGGAGAGACATTATTGGGAGAGGAAATTAGCTAAAAGACGTTAGTAGAAATCGTTGGAGACAAGACCCCAAAAAAGAATATAACTGGGCTTGAAGTTCCAGTTAATAACGAAAAAACCAGAGGTGCTTTTGGACATGCACGTGGTGAAGGATTGTGTCTTTTAAGGGAACCGAAGGAACAACATGCCATATAATAAATGCTGCCAGGTGAACTGACATTGCCGCGTTGACAAAAGGAACGAAGTAATCGTTAATAAATGCAACAGATCTTAACTTGAGCTAACTCAAATTTGAATATAGACAATTAACATAGTTGCATGGACACTCAATAAATAGTTTTTTGAATTTTTTAAACAAATAACCTTGTTGCATGGACACCTAATGAATATTTTATACGATTATGATATTTGTATACATATAAACATATACATAAAGCGTTAGAAATAATTATGGTGTTAAATAGTGTGGTCTATGTGTACATGTAAATATATATATCGTTCTTAGCATTTATATATATGCAAATACGTGCATGGAGCGTTATTAACATTTGTATATATAAAAACATGTATATAGACCGTTATTAACATTTGTATACATCTAACCACAAATATTTATTAGATATTCAATCTAATTGACGGGGGAGACAACATGCAAGATATATACATAGATTTACAAAATATTTTGGACATCCACAACAAACAACAATTCATTTGTCTCACGCAATGAACTGATTCAAAGTCTAAATACCAGAAGCGAGTGGGGTTAAAATTGAGTAAAAGAGTGGCTAAAATTATCGTCGTTCTGGGCCTTGTGTCAGATTACTAAAAAACTAAATAACTTCCCCAATAACGTTTCTCACCCAATTATCTGTTTTTTATACGTGTGCATTATGATTTTGTAGCGCACGTGTTTGCTTTTGTCGTTTTCGACAAATCTAAGATCACATATTTTTCCAATTAAGTACTGCTTTTGTTTCTAATAGATTAATGCGTTGGGTTATTTTTTTTCCAAAATGATTGATGTTTTTATCAACATCATTATTGATTTCATTTGTTATCTATAGAAAGAAGAGAAAAGTAGAATTAATAATATTAAACTAACAAAGACGTAATAAAAAAAATCTAAAATTTACTTTTTCTTAGTTTGTGTTTTAAAAAAAACTATAATATTTTTCTTTTAGGAATTGAGGTAATAGTTTCTTTTATCTTATATTAAATATACTTCTTCTAAAGTAGTAATCTTGCTTCTTTCACCAATCCCGATAAATTTTAGTAACATCATTGTTTCCCTAACTTAAAATACTATTTTGTTTTTTTTTTGTTTTGTGAGTTATGGTGAGCAGAGTTGTTTGAGATAAATATTACTATAGCAGAAAATTATTGTCATTTCTGAGAAACAAAATCACTTTTGAAATTGTTCGTAATTGAAATCTCCTCTAATGTACTTTTATATTTTATTTGTATGTTCTGAACCATCAATAAAAAAGATTCCCCATGAATCAAACATTTTTTTCTTATGCATAAACGTTTTTTCAATGTCAATGTAGTTAGAAATTTAAGGTAGTTATCGCTTTAGAGTAGTCTTATGACTCCTTTTCCGTTAAAGATTATCCACAAATTTTTCCTAGATCATGCTATATTTTAAGTAAGTAATGAAATATCATATAAAATTTGTTCACTTGCAAAGATGCATAACAATATTAGTGTTTACTCACATTTGCATTACTCTAAATGCATAATTTATAACAATGGCATTTTGTTAGAAAACTTTTATGCTATACCCACCACTAAAGTGGAACAAAATCTCTCTACTAAGAAAATCCAACTCCATTCTCGATCCATTTTGTATCTCTTTTGTGCTCTTCTAAGAAAGTACACTATCTTATGACCATATTTTCGTAGGAAACATCTTCTTATTTCACTATATGTGTTGATCTCTATTCCAGTTTACATAAATAGTTTAAGAATTTTAACCCAACTGTCTTCAAAATATTATGTGACCAAAATTTCTTAATTTCTTCAGTTTTGTTGCAGCAAACTTCAATATCCATTAAAAAATATTTATCATATATGTCAAGTCACATTGGTCTTTATGTGTTAGGACAAGTCCATGGCTATAGGAAAAGGAACTGCAACAAGAGCTTCATATTCATATATCATGTATGATAGATAACATATTGTAGTGGTGTCTCAAAATTAATTGATTCGATTGAATTCGCTAGCTATGAAGCCTGGTCAAGTACTTTTGGAAAACTCTTATTCAATGTTAATAGTAAAATTCTCATATATATATATATATATATATATATATATATATATATATATATATATATATATCTTAAAATGACAAACTTTTGAAGTCATATTCAAAATTTAATCATAGGGTGTAATATTTAATACTTTTGGGGGTATATAATTCAAACCATTAAACTTTTTAAAGATAGTTTGAATAAACTACATATATGTAGAAAATATTATTTTAAAAAGGAAAGTAAAGATATTTCACATTTATATTAATTATTTTTTAGGCAAAAATGTATAAAAATTAATTGGTAGTCTAAGATACATTGAATAATATAGAAAAAAATCTAGGAGTTTTAAATGACTCAAAATTGAATGATAAAGATGAATCTAATGGCTATCATTCTTCTTGTAAACAACGAAACATCATATATCCTACTTGCCTTTAAATAGAGGATTATTTTTACTCTCTTCTTCACTCTCAAATCATAAACCATTATAGTTTGCATTTTCAACCATTTCCTTTTCGTAAATTTCTTTTAATACTCCGTTTCTCTCGTTCTTTCTCGGCTTGTTAAGGTGTGTTGATTTTATTTGTTGTTAACTATTTCATTTGTTTATATATAGAGTTCGTGTTGAGGCATATATATATATATATATGCATTTTTTATGTTCAAATTGTGATTTATTTTGTTTAAATTGCTTGTTTAACGTGTTGACACTATTTTCAAGATTCCAATTTGATTAAGAGTTCTTCTTAGTCTAATGGTATCAACACTATATAATTCAGATCTGAGTATATTGTTATGCAATTTTATAATAAGATGCGGTTTGAATATTGTCACAAAATATTTTCACTCTCATCTTCTCATTATTTAAAAAAAAAAACCTAATTATTACTGATTCCTTACTTATTCTTTTTGTTTATGATAGGTTTACTATGGATAAGTCTATTCCAATATTGGAGGCAACACCGGTCTCAAGTTTCAGACCAGATAAACGAGCATCCGATGATACTAATGATGAAAGCCACAAAACATCTACAGCATCTCCTCCTAGAATGGTTTCACCGCTTCGAACCATTTCTCCTTTTGATGACTTCGAAAATGACTGGTATGATGACTGGTATGATGAAGATGCTGGTCTGAACACTGGTTCAATCAAAGGAGAACCATCCGATGATGTTAATGGTGAAACGGACGACTCATCAGCAGCCCCTCCTCTAATGGTCACACCGCTGCAAACAATCAGACCATCTGATGACTCCAACAACAACTGTTATGATGTGGGTGCTGGTCCTAGTACTGTTCCAGTAAAGCGAGGGCGTGGCCGACCAAAGGGTTCAAAAAAACCGAAGAAGCCAAAAACAGATGATCCCAACAGCAGAATGGTTGAATCTTGTTCGGATTTTGAGTCAAGGATAACAGAAGTGGAGAGAGAAACCGGAAACCAAGAGATCGTTGGTTCGGTTTTGAAGCGGTTTGACGCGGTTAGACGGCGATTATGCCAACTAAACCATCCAAAACACCTCCTTACAACAGCGTCAACTAATTGCACGAAATTGGGGGTCCAGACAAACAGGAGGAGGAGAATTGGTGCAGTTCCTGGAGTACAAGTAGGCGATATATTCTACTACTGGGGTGAAATGTGCTTAGTCGGTCTTCACAAACCAACGGTTGCCGGAATTGATTATCTGACGGCTGCAGAGAGTGCAGTGAACGGTCAAGCTGCTACAAGTGTGGTAACAGCAGGAAAGTACGATGATGAAACCGAGGAGCTTGACACGTTGATCTATAGCGGACACGGCAGAAAAGTCAAGCATGGTCCACCATGTGATCAGGTTTTGCAAAGAGGAAACCTTGCTCTAGAAGCAAGTGAAAGAAGAGGGAATGACGTTAGAGTCGTTCGACGGGAAGTGCATAACAATGAGAAGGTATATATCTACGATGGACTTTACATGGTTTCAAGGTCCTGGATTGTGACAGGAAAATCCGGTTCTCAGGAGTTCAGGTTCAAATTGGTGAGGAAACCAGACCAACCTCCTGGTTATGCAATCTGGAAATTAGTTGAAAAGTTGAGGAACCATGACTCGATTGATCCAAGAGAGGGTTTTATACTTCAAGATCTTTCTTTTGGAGAAGAGCTTTTACCAGTTCACCTCGTTAATGAAGTCGATGAAGACGACAAAACGATTCCAGAAGATTTCGAGTACATTAGATCTCAGTGTTACTCAGGTATGAAGGATGATCTTAATGTTGATATTCAATCACTTGGATGCCATAATTGTGAAGGTGAGTCATGCAGTCATCAAAACTGCACGTGCATGGGTAAAAACGGCGGCCAGTTACCATACCATAAAAACATTTTGGTTTGTCGTAAACCATTGATTTACGAGTGCGGTGAATCTTGTACCTGCCCCATCGATTGTCCAAACCGATTGGTTCAAACCGGTTTGAAACTCCACTTGGAAGTGTTCAAGACAACAAACTGTGGTTGGGGTTTACGTTCTTGGGATCCAATCCGAGCTGGAACTTTTATCTGCGAGTTTGCTGGTGTGAGCAAGACAAAAGAAGAAGTAGAAGAGGATGACGATTACTTGTTCGACACATCTCGGATTTATCATAGCTTCATATGGAACTATGAACCTCAGCTTTTGCGTGAAGATGCTTCGGCACAGGTCTCTGAAGTTATCAATCTTCCGACACAAGTCTTGATAAGCGCCAAGGAAAAAGGAAATGTTGGTCGGTTCATGAACCACAGCTGTTCGCCGAATGTTTTTTGGCAGCCTATTGAGTATGAAAACAACGGGTATACATATGTTCGCATTGGACTCTTTGCGATGAAGCATATTCCTCCGATGACAGAGTTAACATATGACTATGGAGTTTCCTCTGTGGAGAAGACTGGAGAAGATGAAGTAATTTATAGAGGAAAGAAGATTTGTCTATGTGGTTCAGTCCAATGTCGTGGCTCTTTTGGTTAATTTGAACTTTATATCATTTGTGTCTTTTTTTTAATTGTTTTTTAGTTTCTTTGTTTCTTTTGTTTTTGTTGTTGTATTTTTCTTTCTTAAAACATTAATAAAAGTAGTGAATTTTTAATCAGACTTTTGCCTAAAACGATTCATTTTCAATTGGTATACAGATTTTGTTTCCTTAATTTTCTTGTTTTTGGATTTAATTTTGATTTATTTCTTAAAAAAGTATTATATGGCATATTGTTGTATTTTGATTGGCTAATCAAATGGGAGTGAATCCAAGAATTTTTCTTGTAATAATCAGAACTATCCATTAGTTTTTTGTTTTTTTTTAAATGAGATAAAAATAAAAAGAAAAACTAAGAACCTTGATTTTTTAACTAATGAAAGAAAACTCTCTTATCCATTTCTTCTCCATATCTTAACGGCTGAAATCGACGTAGTGTCCGTCGAGTAATTTCTTCTCCGGATCCTACAACTTCTCCATTCTTGGTCTCGTGGTCCTAATCTTTCAATTAGGACAGGCATGTTCGTCGGCTATAGGCTGTAGTAATTGTGTCTAGGGTTCCGTTTCATTTGTTTGTGTAAGGAGTTTCTTACACAAATTTGTAGAAACCAAAATTTAAAAGTGAGATTTGTTTATTTACCTGAGTGTGTTGGCTGCACTTTGATATGTGTTTCATCTCCAGATTTCTTTTAATTACTCTTTCAATGATTCCTTTTCATAAAATATATGCATAGATAAATCTTCTCTTTTCATTATTATTATTTTTTTTACAAATTTCTAAACCCTAAAACTGTAAATTTTCTTTCAGATTTCGAAATTGCAGCAGTTAAGTCTTAAAGAAGGGCTGAAGGCGAACTCAATATTTGGAGATTCTGTGTGATGATCCTCAGCACATCTCCGGTTGTGGCTCTTCAAGTTGAGTGCCAAGCTGAAAATCTCGCTTTGTAAATGCAGTGAAGGAGGATTTTTCTATGCCATTATGTCATTCCCACAAAACTATCCTAGTAGCCCACCTATGATGCGGTTTACTTCAGATATTTGGCATCCTAACGGTTAGTTCTTTCTCTCGGATATTTGTCATTGATCTTGTTTAAGTAGCTAAGGTTTTTGTGAAAATGTTTCTCTTATGGCTCTGTTCTTGGTATCACATAGTCATGTGTTTTTTGTGACTTTTCAAAGTTGCCAAAGGCTTTTGAAAGAAGTTCCAAAACAATATGAAAACTCAACCTGCAGAAGATGTTCCAAGCCACCTTCATGGGTCATGGCTACAAATTTGAAAGACTGTACATTGGAGGGTATTGCAACAGGCCATGTGTGTCTGATCTTATTGATGCATTGAAGCCACAGTTAGGCCACACAAGATCTGAAATAAGCTTCAGGTAAAGCATTCTTGTAGTGTAGGGAGATTCTTTTTAGGCTCTGTTTCGACTGAGGAAACATGTTTTAGGTATTCACTTCTACTTGTCCTTGTCTTGGAGAGATTTATGATGGTTAAGAAGTTGCCATAATGGGTACAGATTGTTAATATAAAAGGCTTAAAAGCAAATAAATTGCATAATGAATACACTTACAATAGGAAAGAGTTCTTTTTTAAAAAGTACATACATTAATGAATACACTTACACTAGTAATCATTAATCGATGGTTTTCTTTCTTTAAAGCTCTGGAGCTCCAAGGAGTGTTTGCCAGTGGAAACCAAACAGTCTCTAGTTCAAAAAAAAAAGGTCTTCACCTTGAAACGTTGTGTTTACTACACTCTTTCCTCCTTGAGATCGCAGTGTAAAGGCTGAGAGCTTTAGGAGCTTTGAGAATGGCAAATCAACATTTCTTCAAGCCACTTCTTCCTGGCTTTCACAGCCACTTGTTTAGACATGAACAACCTCGGTGAGTTATGTTCTTTTGTCTCTCTAACTGATATTAAAAAGGGAATCTGTTTAACTAATACTAGTTGGATTAAAGTCTCTTCCGAAGATTCAAAGGAAAAAGAAGAAAGAAGTTGAGTCTTCACTAGATCTCTCTTGTTTCGTGGCTAATGTCACGCCTTCGAATCTACGTTATGACTCACTGGTATCTCTACTTCTAATTTTAACTCTTAAGAAACTCTTATACTAGGGTCTGATTTAGATCAAAATCATGTTTATTGTTATGAATTTCCAGAATCTTGCGTTGAGTTTTGTGAGGGAAAATGGTGTAGACAAAAGATGTGGAGACATGATTCTGATGAATGAAAAGGGTAGATCGTGGACTGTAGTTTCTGTCATGCTAATGAAACTAATATATCCACTTTGGTAACAAATTTTGGCATTTTGAAGGCCGATTCAATATATATAATTATTTTGGCTGCAAGCCCAAGATTGATTTGCTTGGCCTCTTGGCCGGCTCTGGGTTGGAATATGGAAAATAAGATTGTGTGGTTTATATTAACTTTGATCATGTTCTTATTAGATTTATAATTTTTGTCATGTTCAACTGAATCATATTTTATTCAAACTAGTGCATTATAAAAGGATGAAGAGCCATTCATTCAAGTTAGAAGAAAATAATCAAATGTTGTCTACTTTTCTATATTAATTAGTTTGTAGAAATTAGAATGTTAAGTTCAATCATTTTGTTGCAAATTATTCTTTTTTCTTTATCAAATTTTATTGAGTGAAGTTGGATCTTGCCATACTTCTAAATAGCAAATATAAGAGACTATAATATCAAAGTTTATATCTAGTTACTCGGCTTTATTTCATCGATTTCTGATGCAGCGAGATATTTGGAGATATTCCAGATATGTATTTCTATTATATTTTAATTTATTAATTATAATTATTCTAGAATATTTTATAGATTTTAAGGTTTTATGCTTTTATTATAAATAGCATTCTTACGCCTCCTATTGTATTAAGTTGTTATTGAATTAATTAATCAAAATATTTAAAGAGGTTTTGATAAACCACTGTGAAGAGTATTCACAAACCTTAAGAGCTTTTGTGAAAGCACTGAGAGGAGGACTCTCAAACCCTAGTTTCCGGGTATTCTCAGAATCAACGGATCTAGTTCTATCCCTAGAAGCTTCCGCTTCATCAACTTCCAAAATCAAATCAATTTAGGTTTTTGGCTCAATACAATATTTATAACTTTAGAGATATGAGCCTAATATTTTATACTCAATGTTAAAAGATAGTTATGAAAATTAACATCATATGACATATCATACGATATGTATATCTAAAATTAGTTTAAACAACATAGATGAAGAAATTTCACTTGAATGTTTTAGTTGTTATATATGTTATAGGAAATTAATATTAGTTTGAATCCTAAACTAATATATTTGTTATATATGTACGTAAAGTATGCATGAGTTTACATTTTAATTTGGTAACACAATTTTTTATACTTGTGCATGACGATTTTGTAGCGCACGTGTTTGCTTTTATCGTTTTCGACAAATTTAAGATCAGATGTTTTTCCTATTAAGTCCTGCATTTATTCCTAGTAGATTGATGTTTTGACTTTTTTTTTTGTTCTATAATGATTGTTATTTTGTAACAACATCATTATTACCTTCATTTGCTATCAATCGAAAGAATAGAAAAGTAGAATTAATAATATTAAACTAATAAAAACATCAGTAAAAAAAGTAAATTTACTTTTTATTTTATCGTATATTAAATAGATTTCTTCTAAATTAGTAATCATACTTATTTCACCCATTCCAATAAATTTTGGTTAGCTTAAAATACTATTTTTGTTTTACATGCTAGTATTGTAGCTTACGTGTTTTATGGCCAAAAAAACATGAGAAATATATAGTGAACAAAGTTGTTTGGGTTATATATTACTATTTCAGAAAACTATTCTCATTTCCAAGAAAAATTTACTTTTGAAATTGTTCGTTATTGAAATCTCATCTAATGTACTTTTATATATTATGTGCATGTCCTGATGAACCATCAATAAAAGAGATTGCCATGAATCAAACATCCTTTTCCTTATGCATAAAAAAACTTTAAGATGTCAACGCAATTAGATATTTAATGTAATTATCGCTTTAGAGTATAACGTTGTGACTCTTTTTCCGATAAAAATTATCAACAAAACTTCTCTAGATCATATTATATTTTCAGTAAGTAATATCAAATAAAATATCTTCACTTGCAAAGATGCATAGCAATATTAGTATTTACTGCCTCTTGCATTACCCTAAATGTGTCACATATTATAAGTTAAGTCGAAACAAAGAGTTTATAAGTAAGCATATTACCAAATCTTGTCATTTTCTTATGATAATTTTATGTTGCCCCCACCATTACAGTGGACCAAAATCTATTTAATCAGAAAATCCAAATTCATTCTCGATCCATTTGATATCTCTTTTGTGCTCTTCTAAGAAAATACATTTCTTATGGCCATCTTTTCGTAGGAAACATCCTCTTATCTCACAATATGTGTTTTAACTCCATTCCAGTTCAAAAATGGTTTAAGGATCTTAACCAAAATTTCGTCAAAATATTATGTGACCTAAGTTTCTAAATATCTTCAGTTTTATTGCAGCAAACATCAATATCCATTAAAAACTTTATATGTCCAGTCAAATTCGTTTGTATGTGTTAAGACAAGTCCATGGCTAAAGGGAAGGAACTGCAACAGGAGCTTTATATTCATAGATGATGTACGATAACATAGTGGTGTCACAAAATTAATAGAATCGATTGAATTTGCTACCTACGAGATATGTTCAACTACTTTTGGATAACTTGTATACAAAGTTAATAATAAAATTCTCGTATATATATATATATGAGTTTCTTAAAATGACAAACTTTTGAAGTCATATTCAAAATTTAGTCATAGGGTATATGACTTAATACTTTTGGGTGTAATACTTAATACTCATATTCTTAGGGGGTGTATTGAATAAAAGAGTTGGAGTGATTAAGTAAACTTTTAACTTTTTAAAGATAGTTAAAATAAACTACATATATGTGGAAAATATTATTTAAAATGGGAAGGTAAAGATATTTCACATTTTTGTTATTTTTTTAAAAAGAATTAATTGGTAGTCTAAGATACATTGAATAAAAAAGAAAAAAATCTTGGATTTTTAAATGACTCAAAATTGGA